ACGATGTCGACATATACCATACATGTCCAGGAAGATACAAGCGTGAGGTGTCCCCTGTAGTCCCCTTCCATATATACCTATCCTATGCGATCAGCAGCCCGGCTCAGAGGTGAATTCACACATATCGAATATCGAGCGTCCGTGAATATGTGCTAAATGTCAGCTTGCACGTGGTCATCGCAAACCATCGATGAGTGGAGGTGATCAAACTCTTCTGATCGGATGTCATTGACCACCAGAAGGTCATGTTCTGAATAGTCGAATTAGGTCCCGTCTACGCCCCTTTCTTTGGCCCCATGGGCTGAGCCAGCGCCATAATCTTCAGTTGTATCGGGGCAGCACGAGTTTTATCTATCAGAATCTCCGTTGTTTCGGTGATGATGAAAAATATGCCCCTTTTGGGGGGGGGGGGGGATTGGATGGATTAGAAGTTTGGAGTTGGGGATTTGACAGGAAAGGTATATGATTAGATTCATGCCACAAATATTGAAATAGGTCGGAGTCATTTGGGAGAATGTAGGCGAAGGTACGGCTGGGAATGGAACGAAGGGGGGAGGGGGAATGAAGATGGTAAAAAGGCAAATGGTATCACGAAGAAGATTATGAAATGAACAACGTCATAAGCTTTTGAAGGCCACGAACGAAGTGCATTATCGACTCAAATGTAACAATCGGGCCGGAGAAGGTTGAAAGAAGTTTGGAATTAGTCAAAAGTAGATTCAACATATTTTGAGAGAATGAGAATTTTTGGTTGAGGTTGATTGAATAGATGGTAGAAAAAAGAGAGTTCTAAAGTTGAACGACATGTCAATATGTTTTTCAATAATGAATGAGGATAGTAGAATATCAAACCAGGTGATGAAAAGAAAAATGACTTGAAAATGATATATATATATATTATATATAACATATTAATATCATCTACACTGACAGATCGTATAAAAAGCTACAATACCCTTCCTTTTCCCCCACACTTTAGATATCATCTAAAACATACCTTGTCCATCATACGTAACAAAAGGAACCGCACCTTGTCCCCAAGAAGCGGGTGTAGGTTCGTAAAACGTTTGTAACCTTGCCCATAATTCAGTAGAGTTCATCCCTTCGTCTTGTCTCTGTCCAACTATGTGTGAAGTTCTATCCTCTTGTTCATCTCCAAAAGGACTATGTTGATTTCTGTTCGCTAAACTTTCCGTTTGTGTGACGTGTGATTGAGAATCGGGGAAAGAAGACAATGGTGGTATTGGGATTGTACCGAGGTAAGAACTGACTATAGGGAAAAAATCATCCATGGTTACTTTATCTGATGGAGCTGGATTGACGAGTGCAAGAGTGAAATCGAATGTGTTGTATTGAGTTTGTTGTGATTGATCTGGAAGGATTGTATGTTGGATTCGAGCTTGATCAGGATATCGATTCTGAGACTGATGATTTGATTGTACTGGATGAGATTGAGATTGGACATTTAGATTTTGAGATTGGACATTTGAATTTTGAGATTGTTCAGTGGAAGAAGTTTGCGGTTGAGGATAAAGATCTGATGAAGGGTAATCGTGCGATAGTCGATTAGACGTAGGGGAAATCACCCTTTGTTCCACTTGTCCTCCTAATAAAGCGAAAAGCATGTCTTCTCCTTCTGGCGATATTTGAGTTTGGAGAGGATCTAAGCCGATCACACGAGGATATCGATTGGCGACGAGGTTTTGAAGAATGGGTAAAAGGTCCTAAGAAGTCAGTCTCTGATTCTTTGACGCCTACCAGCTGATAGACACCCGTGCGCCCTTGTGACAGTCAAGGGATCGTATGAACCTCTAGATTTAAAATAAGATAGTAAAAAAGAAGTGAAGCATCGATGTGTTGTTGGGAATTTAGTCCCAGGATGATGGTTGGAATCATATTGAACAGAGAACACACCTTGATCCCTTGACTACGGGCAGACCCATTCTCTCGGATCATATCGCACGCCTCGGCCAACTCTTTGTATGCGGATTCCACGAATGTCGATTCGAGGTATGGTCCTGCCCAAATAGCAAGGGCGGAGATAGAAACAGCCGCGGAGAAAGTCTGAACCCATACGGACCAACTTCGTGCGGCGATACGTGGGTGCTGTAGGTTAGCAAGGCCTTCATGAACCAGAGCATAAAGCGAAGATAACAAGCCATCTGGGTGAGGAAGTTGACAAGAGTGGTGTCAAGTAATAGCGAAGAGACTCACACTTCGAGCCATCCAGATAGAGACAGCGATGATGGCGTGACAAGCTTCATAAGTCTTCACGACTACTTGTCTTTCCATATCACTGAAGGAGACAGCTTCTCGGGGTTGAGACCGAATCCTCTGAATCAGACGGCGAAGAGAGGGACGATAGAGGAACACTGGTGGTCAGCTGATTCAAGACAAATGAGAAGCTGGACGCACGGGCTGCTTTGAATTGACACACTGCAAGTCAGCTATGATCACGGATGAACGTATGCTGCGGAGGCCAAATACTTTCACAAAAACCGCCGTCCGTGACGATGAACAGGGGGTTGTCGTGCACATCGAGAACAAATGACACCGCGGGTGGAAGGAATGACAGATGGGTGTAGAGGCCCGGAAGAGCGACGGATGAAGGACTCACAAGAAGTAGTGCACTGAGTCAACTCGACAGTATTCTGCTTGGCCGGATCCTCAGCTCGTGGAGGGAACGGCTGTCCACTGAAGATAGGACAATGGGCAGCGGGGAATGCTTGAGGACTATTCATCAGCATAAAGTTCCGACTCCCTTGTCCGTGATTGAGAATTTGAAAGAGCACACTCACGACGCCGTTGACATCCTCTCTTGAACAGTACAGATTTCTTCCCAGCTTGCAGGTGCTGAATCTGGTAGACAACCCTACGAGTTAAGCTTGGTCCAAAGCATTTGCGTGCTGAGCTCACGATATTAATCACTGCGTTCTTTACATGTCGCATGTACTGCCATCAGCACATACTCTCTTCCGACCTTGAACCGGGCTGATTGGGAAAATGACAAGCTAGAAAACTAGAGGGACACTGAGAGACTCACGTCATACTTGACCCTCGCTTGCATCGACACTTTCTCCGGGAATTGCGTCTCGATAGTTTCGAGGGTTATAGCAGTTCTCTGTCCGTGATTGATGGAAACAAGACAATCGATGGTGTACATCTGCTCATGAGATCCCGTCACAGAAGGTACAGTAGAACACACCTCATGGAAAACCCGTCGACGGAATTCTCTTTCTTCCGCCGGGAGCGACGGATGTGGGTCTCGGTGTAATCCCAGCTGCACATTAGGCCAGAACAAGAATATGAGGCTTCAACATACCTGAAGAGCTTGAGAGGTCATGAGACGCAACCAGAAGAAATTGGATGTCCGAACTCCGCGCCATCCGAAGCCAACGAAGAATACGACTAGGGCCTAAAAGTCAGCCAGAATGCAGTCGAACAGAGGTAGCATTCAAATTACTCGAGATCAGGGGAAGGGAGGGAGAGGGAGGGGAGAGCTCCACTTACAAGAGCTTGAACACCGGGCAGACTTGCTGACCAGCCAAATCTAGTGTCGAAACACTTTTGAACCCCCTGCCAGTATTCTGCAACGGCCGGATTCACCCTACATAATTAGCTTGTCATCTTGTGGAGTAAAAACGCGCACGTTTCAGTAGAGATGTCAAAGTACGTGTCCAGACACAACACCATCAGCACGCACGCCAATTTGTGCGGGGTAATCTTGTTGATTTGAGTTGGAGCTGATCTCAGCATTCGCACTCCAATCGATGAGGGCGCTCACCATAAACGGCAGGCTCATAGATCGCATCGAATTCTTCCTGCTTGAGTATGTTTTGGCTAAATGGATTAGGTAATTCAAACGGTACAACGGGGTCAGGAGGACTCACAACCACCCGGACGACTGCCAAAAATGTGCGGCACGACGAGCCGTCTCTTCTCTCGATGGAAGAATCCGGCGGATGTCAGTGAGCAGTTCAAGGACGGTATGTCGTTCGGAAATCTCCTCGATATCTTGTCCACTTCCCACGTTGCCGACCTGCAAGTGAGTGATAGTACTTTTATGTGGCAGAAGACACTCAAAGGTGACGAGGACTTACAATCATGGCCGGAGCGGCATTCTCTCCTGCCCACTCGTCTTCTCTCTTTCCCTCTGGCGCTGCAGTGGCGTGACTCAGTAACAGTGACTCTACAGCCATCCGACTTTGCGTCGGGCCGTGTTCTTTCTCGCCTAGCAACCCAAGTTGAGTGACCGAATTGGCGGTCAGCTCGGGTGTTACGAGGGCATAGCTGGATGCAGAGGTTGTCGAGGCGGCTCCCTTAGGCGATATGGGGTGAGTTTCAGTCGTATGTACGTGAGCGGGAGGTGTGTAGACAACCTCTTCACGGGGAGGAGACAGATTCGGGTCTGCAAAACCTCCGTCCAGGTATTGAGGAGCGAGAAGGGGGTGTGACTTTGTTGACAAGGCCGAGTGAGCCTGGAAAAGTGCGGCTTCCAGTTGAGCAATCTATCAAATGAGCGATTTTTCGAATGATGATAAACCACACTCACACGCTCATGTAGCTGCTCCGTTGAGGCCAGGACAAGGCGCTTCCCCTGCATGCAGCTCAAGTCTCCATCTGGACATACCAGTGCGCATCCCCTTCGCCGACCTGAAGATGAGTTTAGAATCAAAATAGACAGAAAAACTCACAGTTGGAGCAAGGAAACACCCTATCACACTTCGCCTTCAATCGTCTACATTCAGAGCAGCTCTTCTTTCCGTCTTTCTCTCCATTCTTCTTCTTTTCTTCTTTTTTGACTTTTTTCGCAATCGGAGTGACATGATCACCCAAGCTCTCTCTTCTTGCTTTCATCTGACCTGCGCTCAAGCCTAGACCCATGCCGGCAAGCGCCAGACCCGCCTCCACCTCGTCCGCATCGCTCGGTCTGCGGACTTCGTTCGACCGAGGTCGTTTTATGCCACGGTCTAGTTCGTATGGCGAGTGGCGAGAATCATAAGCCAAAGGCTGAGGAAATTGATGCGTGTCGTAGCTCTGGTCCGCGGGTTGCGGGACTAGATGTATGGGGTACGGGGTCATTCCTTCGTCGCGATCCCTAGGAGGCGGATTGGTGACCATTCCATTTCGGTTCGGGTACTGCGCATGCGGTTGAGGGTGCATGTTAGGTGCCCATGAACCGAGTGTGGGTAGTTGTACACCATCATGACGATGTTTGTCATGCGAAGAATACCCTCTGACCGGTTCCGCCGGCATGGGAGGGGGGTAAACCATGATGCTGGGGTGAGGGACGGCCGTGGTGGAATGCCTGGGGTCGCCCTCGTTGTTGAGGGTAGAGGAATGAACGGAGAAGGGTAGAGACTGTTGTGACGGGACGCTATCCGTCGGACTCGGTGTGATATGTTTGGAAGGTAGGGCGTTGTCGCTGACGTCGAGGGGAAGATATGCAGGTGGGAGGTAATCAGGTCGAGGGATAAGGAATTGGTTCTGATTGATGAGATTTGTCTGAACCGAGAACGTCGGAGGTTTGTGTGCGAGGGTGACTTTGGGTGCAGGGCGTTTCTGAGGTATGTGAGCAGAGGTAATCTCGTAATAGTACGAAGAGAAAAGAAGAGTGAGAAACGACGGCTGTTTATATTTGAGAAAGAGGAGCGGTGCTACTGGTTGACGAGAATGGATTAGGAATGGATGGAGGGCCGTTGTGAAGAGTTAGTTGGATTTGAGAAGGGAACAAGACCGAGGGAAATGGTCGATTATAGACCGGATTGAGTGAGAAGATGATAGAGAAAGTGTTGCCGGGGGAGCCTTTGAGGCCGAGAAGACCGGACAGTTGTCTTCGGACGTTTCTCGCAATCGACGCTAGTGAGTGACGTTGACAGCGTCGGGGCAAGGGGGGGTTTGAGGGGGAGTGGAGGGGGGGGGGGGGAGGACGGAGGAAATAGAACAAGAGATAACAGACACTTACATTGGGAGGGGGATGAGATGGGGTGTGAGAGAGAGATGTAATGAGAGTTGGCAGTGGCGGTGGCGGTGGTGGGAGACATTGCCTTGAGGATATGTGTCGTTGAAAGTTGCAGGAATCAGCGTGCGAGAGTATCCGAGAAGTGAAAATTGACAAAGGCCCCGAAAGAAGGGCGGCAAGGGGCGCACCGGCATACGGTTTTGAACAGGATTCGGATCCGGGAAGAGGAGCGATGGGAAGGAAGGAGGACACACGCGGTGACGATGATGATGACAAGGATGATGATGAACAGTGACAAAGCAAAAGCCGGCGACTACGGGAAGGGGTACGAGTAGCGTCTTGTATTTAGGGGCGGAATCATTTAGGGATAGCACGTGAGGGCTACTGGTGATAGGCCGTATGACCGTTGGTGCGAGGGATACTGCAGTGGTAGAGATAGAGAGGGGGTGAGCGTGGTGGGAGAGTTGCTACGGCCGCGTTCATCGGGCCAAATTCGTCGATCATTTCGGATCCAAATCATCACACGCTTATGTATAGAACAACTGGCCAAGTACCTAACTTACACTTTACCTTAGTGGGAGTAGACAGAATTGCCTCAGGCCACAGCTAGTCTTTATAAACCACAATTTCATCTTTGTCATCTTACCTTGCTTGCATCCCACCTACGGACACTCCAATGCCATCGAGCATGATTTTCTCCCGACCGGCCGCGCGCCGCAGTCGCTCGATTCCAAGGGACAGGGATCAGGGAGAGAGAGGGTTACGTCCCAAGATGCCACGTCATAATTTCCAGGTTCACTTTTGATACCAGTAAGTTAACCGGAACTTACTCCGGCCCCTATGCCATGCCCTCCTTCCCTCCCTCCCCCCTGCCCCTTGGTACGAGTACTTACCCTCTTTGACCGTCTCTCCATGTACACGGGGTCCCTCCTAGCATTCCCACCCCCACAAACTTCCCTATCACCATCTCTATCAACCTCAAACAAAACCTTTCGTACTCTCGCCCTATCACCATCATGGCAGTCACCGCCAGACGCGTTTCTTACATCCTCCCTTCCCCTTCAGAACCCCCACCTCTTCTCTCCCTCCCCCCCATAGGCGAACCCCGTAAAGGTCGGACCGCTCCACTCCTACGACCCAAAGACGCTTCATCAGCAACCACTCCCACTTTCCAATCTCGCAACCCTTTCCTTACACCATCTCAGTCTTCTCACCCTCGGCACTGCCTCGGAGTCACCGCCCTGGCTCTAGACACGTCAACCTTACTTGCCAATCACACATCACCTCAGGGTATACTATACACAGGTGGGAGAGATGGACTGGTCGCAAGTTGGGAGCTGGGCATACATCATAAACGCAGAAAAGGTGGACGATATGACTTGCCTCCAGGTGGAAATAGGGTCAAGTGGGAGAAGATTGGTGATTCCGCTGAACTGTGGGTAGGGGATGCAGAAGAGGATGAATTTGAAGATTCGGAAGAAGAAGCCAGTAGTGAAGATGAAGAGCTGGAAGGATGGGTGGGTGTGAATGGAAAGAAAGCGAGAGAAGTGCCGTACGAGGAGAGATGGGAGGTGGATAGGGATCATCTTGCGGCCAACAAGGTATGTGTTTCGTCTGTTCTTTCAAGCCAAAATGCGCATCGCTGAGTCTAGCCCCCACCCACGAAATTCCGGCAGTCCGCTCAGACTCATACCGATTGGGTCAGCGCCATGCTGCTTTGCAATCTGAACCAAACCGTCATCACCGCTTCATCCGACCGGACTATCAGAGCGTGGTCCCCACACTCGCCCACTGAATCTGGATCGCCTTCTTTGGTGGGTCGACATCGTGACTACGTCCGTACGTTAGCTTGGGCTAGTCAACCGGGGCTCTTGTTCTCAGGAGCCTTGGACAGGACTGTAGGGATTTGGGACGTGGGCAAAGGTCAGGTAGATGCACCGGTGCTCAGCATTGATCTCACCAAGCTGGACGAGTTTGAGGGGATTGGAGCGGATGGGGATAGGGGGAGCGTGTATGCTCTCGGAGTTGGTACGTCATCTATGATCTCTGACAATCCTCCATAATCGCCTTAAAATGCTGAAGTATCTCTTATCGAATTGTCACCGCGTGATGGCACGTTCAATTCAACGGAGTGTCCATCAACGTGCTCCAGCCGTTTAAGGAGGGTCTGAGTGAAGCATTAACGGACAGATCCCGCCGGATCGGTGCTGGCCGCAGGGACACCCGAACGAGTGGTCCGCCTCTGGGACCCCAGAGCAGGCGATCAAAGCATAGGCAAGCTGGTCGGTCACTCCGACTGTGTAAGAAGCATCGTCGTCAGTGAAGATGGTCGATATGTAAGGTTCACATCTCGTCTGTGTGTTAGCTGACATATCAGATGCTCACGGGGAGCTCGGATACCACCATCAAGTGAGTGTATCAAAGTCGTATGATGGATGGAGCTGATGATAGACTATGGTCCTTGGCCGCTCATCGATGCCTTCACACCTTCAACCATCACACTTCATCCGTCTGGTCCCTCCACTCTGCCCACCCCAACCTCGAACGCTTCTACTCTGGTTCTCGTGACGGTCATCTCTGCGTCGTCGACCTCGAGCGTTGCACCGACATCTCAGATTGTGAATGTGTCGTCCTGGCTCGTGAAGGTGACACCCCTCTCCTTGGGCATCACGAGAGCAAGAGCGGTGACGAAGGGATTCGAGCTATCGCAGCAATGGACGACGAATTTGTCTGGACCTCTACCGGTAGTGCCACTGTCAAACGTTGGAGAGATGTAGGAAGAAGAGTGTCTCGATTACAATACGACGGAGTCAGTCATCATCCATTTGAAGATCCTACTCGAATACCTCCATCCCTCAATGCTGGCTTAAACTTGTTACCTCCAACCCCAGTGTCAAATCCTCCGGAAGGTGCAATCCGAAACAAACGTCTATCGCTTGACGGGACTGGCGAAGGACAGAGTTTGTTGTTTAGGACGGAAAGTAGAGAATCTCGTACGGTCGCTTTCGCCCCTACACCATCATCACGAAATGGACCAGTGGATGGACGTTCTTCTCCTTCCAGAAATACCGATTCACCTGTTCCTATCAAAGATCGGCCCGTTGTTCCTCCGAATAGGATCACTGTGTCCGGCGCATCAGTTGCAAATTCAATCATGTCGGATGTATCAGTGGACAATGATACAGACACTTTAAATGGTATACCATACAAATCTTTAGTTTGTTTAGGTTTACCAGATTCTCCATATTCATTCGGTTTTTCACAGCATCCTGCTAAATCTGGCGTTTCTCTTCTTTCAGGACATCATCGTGATAGACATGAACAAGAAGAAGGAAGTCCCTATCATCAAAGTGCTCAATTAGAAGTATACCCTTCTAAAGCAAGGATAGAATTCGAAGATCGAGAAGTTGCATCTGAAGCTATACCTCTTCGTTCAACTCCAGACGGTATCATTTCTGGACGTCCAGGTCTTATCCGGTCGTTGTTATTGAATGATCGTCAACATGTTTTGTCCATTGACACGGAAGGCGAAGTGGCATGCTGGAATATCATACGAGGTGTATGTGTGGGAAGATTCGCAGCTACGGACGTAGCGGAAGCTTTTGATCTGGAAAGAGGTGTTAAAGCTGATCGTAAACATTCTCAAGATGTATTGGAAATGGTCAAACAGAGAGTAGAAGGTGAGATCATGGTCATCACTTGGTGTGGAGTAGATACGAAAATAGGAAGTTTGGTTGTGCATCTTGAAGAGGGAAGAGTTTTTGATGCAGAGGTTTATCTGGATGAATTAGGTATGGGTGATGTAGATGGGGCTAAAGAGGATACCAGGTGTGGGTTGTTTTTCCGTTTCTTCTTTGATTGACTCCATGTTCGAGTTTATCATCTTGAACCTCTTTTCCATCTTCCTCTTGTCCTGCTCATCTACTTACCCATTGTCCATTCTCCTTGTTTCTAAACTTTTCTTCATCATACAAGGTTGAGTTTGGCAAGACTCATATAGCGGACACGCTTTATCAGGCATGACCTAGTACGAAAGTGTATATGAGACAATAGCTGATGATTAGTGAACTTGGGCAAATGGACCCTTGCCAATCTTTTCAGAGGTAATTCCTCCACCTTTTATTGTCTATTCAAAGTCTAATCTCAGGTTTGATCATAGCTGAAGAACGTGAAATCCGAGCATCAAACTCGACCCCATCCACCAATCCACCATCTATCACTCGATCCCCCGCTCCAACTTACATCTCAATCGAAAGACCCACTTCTCCTACTCCACATAGAGGTAGAGCCATGTCATCTTCTTATATACCCGGTACACCATCTCTCAACATTCCTGGTCTCACAACTCCAGCTGTTACAGCTGCCATTTTGCCCGAATCGGAAGTAACCTTATCAACCAGTGCACCTGCCGGATGGAGTTCTTTCAGTAATGCGATGCGTGGACCATTAACTGCGATACCTCAAAGTCCTGCTTTAAATCTGAACCAAAATCAAAGTCAGAACCAAAATCAAAATCAAAACAGTCAAACCACTTCCAACCACCAAAATATCCAAACATCTCAAAACGTTCTCCAGAACCAAACTCCCTCAGAAGGATTACGTGGTGATTATTTCAGTATAACTCGACGTTCAGATCCATCACCAAATCGTACCGAAGAAAAACCTTCAACACCATCCCCTCTCATCCCCACTTTCCAACCTCTCGCTAACGAAAAATCAACAGGAGATAAAGATAAATCTTCAACTGTAGATAAAACATCATCAGGAGAAAGTGGTAAAAAACTCATGGGAAAATTAAAAGGTTTCGGTAGGAAAAAGACTGAACCTATAATACCTACAACAACAATAGAAGAAACTTCCGATATAAACCAACAAGACGATCAACCAAAAATGGATGAAAGACAATATAATCAATTGAATATATTAGATCAAATTCGTTCATTACCTTTTTCACCGCCTTCTTCATTAGAAGCTCCTTTGATTGATTTCCCACTCGAAACTCAATTATTAATTTCTGAAGAAAGTAAAGATGCCGGTGCTTGGGTCGTGACGTATAGAAGTAGAGTTTGTAACACTGAAAAAGATTTAGAAATGTTAGAAATGAATAGTCCTGGTTGGTTATTAGATTATTTGTTTACGGGTAGGATCAAGTTGAAAGAACCTGTTAAATTGACTTTTATTCTGGAGCCTGTTAAAGATGGAGGTGTTGGGGAGATGCCAGAGGGGTAAGTGACCTTTTACTCCTTCTTGATTTTCTCATTCTTCCTCTCTTTTAATATCTTCTATCTCCTTCAATCATTCTTCGTATCTCTTGATTATTCTTGTACTCTACCCTTGTATCTGCAAATCTCTTGAGTTTCCTTGTATCTCTGTATCTCGTCTTGTCATCGTTATAATGGTTGGTTTCACCTTCATTGCACTACTCTCCGAACCACAATATCAAATTATACTTGTCCAGTAATAATCGAGTCGGTGTAGGTAACAAAGAATTATCAGATACTAATAATCAGCACTAAACGTCTTTCAGCTTCAAGAGTCTTACGTGCACGTAAAATATTATCATTCATTTATGATAAACTTGAAATTGGTTCTCGTGATCGATCAAGTTCTATAGTTTCACTCAATAGTCGTATAATACCACAACCACGTAAATCTTCAATCACCTCTCTCCCACCTTTTTCCAACCCGACAACTCGAACGAACCATGATGAAGAATTCAGTTCGACAGGAGTAGGACCTGAAGATATTTTAGAATTGTTATGTGGGGATGAAAAAGTTGATCCAAAGATGACTTTGGCAACTTTGAAACATTATTATGGACAAGGAGGTGATATGGTTTTACATTATCGTTTGAAGAGATGAGAAAGTCGTCGTGTTCATTGGAGAGTCTTCGTTTACCAGCTCGATGTTATTGTATTGATTTGAGTAAGGACTAATTGAAATTATCCAAAGTCGGGGATACGTGAATCAGAGGTGTGGAGGTCTACGGTTAGGTTTGATGGGTCGATACATCAGATTCCTCAACAAGAGAAAAATGGGAGGGTCGTTGGTCGTTGGTCGTTTAGAATAGGAGTTTAGAGGTTGAATGGATGATTTGTATTTTATAACAAAAGTGGGGAAAGGTGAGGAATGAGGTTGACCCAGGACGGGTTCGATGAGCGTGACTTGAGGGAATGTGGATGGTGGATGGATGGTGATGGTGAGGGTAAATAAATAGGAGGACAATCGAAACAAAATGTATCCGGGAGGATCTATCGAAATCAAAGTAAGAGATATCGAAAAAGAGAATATGTTAAATTGTTAAATTGATAAAGGAAATTGTTTGAAAAGAGAATTGTATGGTTTTATGCAAAAGTTGCAACTCATATCTTATCTCTCGTCATTCTTTTCAACCCCATGTGATCATTCACTTGGCAAGATGGACTGTGAGATTAAGTTTGAATCTGTAGGTAGTACGAAAGGTAGGATTCACTAACAACCTTCTTCTTCTCTCAACTTTTACGTCTTATTCTGACTGGTTTGACTGTCTCATCGTATCCTCTTTCATGAAACATCGTCATTCTGAACTGACATCCATCTTAGACGGTGTTCGAATCCTACACATACGGGTAGTATCCTCTTTCATGAAACGTCATCACTCTGAAGTATCATTCATCTTAGATGGTGTTCGATTCATACACATACGGGCAATAACCTTTTTCATGAAACATTATCATTCTGACCGGTCATTCATCTTAGACAAGTGTTCGAATCCTACACACAAGGGCAATATCTACATTATATCATCTCTCATGAAACATCATCACTCTGAAGTGTCATCCCTCACACACACAGTATTCAAGTCCCACGTGTACGACGACGATGCCGATGAGAATGAGAACGAGAACGACGTTGACGAAGTATAGAATTGCTAGAAATGTACGGTGGAGGAGAAGGAGAAAGTGTCATGTTTACTTCCATTTTTTCCATTTTTTCCTTCACGACACCTTCTTCATCTTCTTCATCATAATCATCTTCTTCTTCTTCATCCACTCTCACGTAATTTTCATCCATTTGAGATACATTTGAACCAGGTTTGAACATTGTTATCTGGTCCAAATTCGTGTTCTTCTCTGTGGTAGAAGTTTGTATTCCCATCGAAGTGTTAAGATCAACTTGAGAATAAGTCGTATCAGTCAAGATGGTATTGAGATCAGGAGGGATATGATGACCTTTGAGAGATCTTGGATTCATAGACGTTACTATCGGTATTGGCTCTGCGGGCTCTGTCGATTCTTTGGGTTTACTTTTTTGACGTGAAAGACGTGAATGACGTGAAGCTGAAGGTTTTCTTGTTTTTGTATCATCAGGATCTCTAGGTCTCTTAGTTTTAACGGGTTGGGAAGGTTGTTCTGATGTATTCGATAAAGTTCGGAGAGAATTTGCACGATCTATCATTTTATACACCATCCCTTTACCCATTTCTACTTCTTTTCCCTTACCAGTCGAACTTTCTGGATTGAGAGACAGTTGAGTAGGTCGTTCCCACCATGTTTGATCATCTCCCTCTTGATCAGAATACATTTCTTCGGGTTGATCCTCAGAGTAGAACTCGTCGATTGGGGAAAACTTGACGGTTTCTTCGTTCTCTGTAGGTTGATCAAATTGGACGAAAGAGAGTCGTGAAGTGGGAAGAAGACGTTGTTGATCGGTAAAAAGTACAAATGGTAAATGATTACCATCTCCTGTTATGTGCTGGTCAATCG